CCCTGCCCTCCAGAGCAACAGCCGGGCCATAGCCAGCCAGCAGGGAGAGGCACCATACAGCAGCCGCTGAGCTGCCTGCAGTCTAAAAGCAGCAGTCCTTGCAGTAATGTCCACGAGGCCCTGCCCCCCCCTCCGCCACAGGCAGGTACAGGACTCGATGCTGGCACCCAGTGATGAACCCGACCAGAAGAGAAATCCACGAGGAGCCGCTGCAGATGTTTCATGAGGCCCGGCGGTGGGGTTAACACCTGGAGTCTGTGCCACAGAGACGAGGCAACAGATTGTTGGCGACAAGAACTCTTCCCCTGTAGGACAGCTGGGGTAGCAGCCATCTCCATTTGGCTAATTTTGCTTGCACCTTTCCCAGCAATCCCTCCCAGTTCTGTGCCACCATGTCCTCAGACCCCAACCAAACTCCCAGGACCTTTAAACCCTTGTTTCCCCAGCTGAGGTTACCAGGAAGACTGGGCCTATTTTCTACACTCCACTGACCTACCAAGACTGCCTCACTCTTCTCCCAATTAACTTTGGCTGAAGCAGCCTTCCTATACAAAGCTAAACTGTCCTGTAGCTCCTGGATATCTCGCTGACCCTGGACAAAAACACTGACATCATCAGCATAAGCTGATACAACCACCGGGGGGGCCTGAGCTGACTCTGGCAGACTTAGGCCCGTCAACCTGTTTCTAAGTCTGCACAAAAGGGGCTCGATGGCAATACTGTATAATAGGCCTGAGATAGGACAGCCCTGCCTGATCCCCCTTTTAACTGGTACAGGTCTGCTCAGCCCTCCCCCCACCTTCACAACACAACATGCATCACTGTACAAACACTTCACCCAGGACAAAAAATGCTCCCCAACACCAAAAGCCTGCAATGTGGCAGCCAGAAAAGTGTGATCCACACGATCAAACGCCTTCTCCTGGTCAATAGAAATAATACCAACATTTATATTATACAGTTTGCAAACATCAAAAGTGTCTCTCATCAAAAACAAATTGTCCACGATTGATCTGCCAGGGATGCAATATGTCTGATCACTACCAATAAGAAGTTCGATAAAACACTTCAGTCTGTTAGCTAAAACCTTTGACAGTATCTTATAGTCCGTACATAAGAGAGCCACAGGTCTCCAATTCTTCAGCAGGGTTAAATCTCCTTTCTTAGGCAACAGTGAAATCACTGCACGCCTACAGGAAGCTGGAAGAAGCCCTTTCCCAAAGGACTCCATCAATACGTCCAACAAGTCCTGTCCTAAAATACTCCAAAAATGTTTAAAAAAGTCTGCAGGTAAACCGTCTATGCCCGGAGCCTTGCCGGAGGCCATCTGTGTCACTGCAGAGGTCAGTTCCTCCAGCGTAATGTCAGAGCCCAGGGTGTCACTTTCGGCTGGACCCAGCTGTGGAAGACCCTGAAGAAGTTCATCAGCAGCTTCTACGTCACAACCTTCGGCTTTGAACAGGTCCGTGTAGAAGGACACTGCATGCCTCCTCATCTCAGCAGGTTCAGAGGTTACCTGTCCATCGGGGAGACGCAGACATACCATCTGCTTCCTTTCGCCCACAGACCTCTCCAGGTTGAAAAAAAAGGTGGTTGGTGCATCAATGTCTCTCATGGAAGTAAAACGGGCCCTGATCAGAGCTCCCTTGGCTTTCTCCTGAAGAAAACAGTTAAGCTGTTGTTGTTTTAAGAGGGACTGTTCTATATTTCGAGCAGACACACTCTCTAACTCTCTGATCTCCCTCTCTAACTGCTCTATAGCTCTCCTAATGTTGGCAGTGGAGTAGGCTGTATACTGTTGGCAGAACACTCTAATCTGAGCCTTTCCTACCTCCCACCACTGACTCAGGGAGGGAAAAGACTCTTTCTTTGATTTCCAGTTGATCCAAAAAAAATTAAAATTCTCACAGAAAATCAAATCTTGTAAAATTTTAACATTAAACTGCCAGAACGATCTAGGTTTCTCTGTGTTGGATAAAACCAAATCTAAAGAAACTAGCTGATGATCTGTAAAACCAACAGGTTGGATGTGACAGTTCACTGCACGAGTAATAAAAGAAGCAGACATGTAAAATCTGTCTAGCCTGGCTGCACTGACGCCCCCATCTAGCATTCTCATCCAGGTGTATTGTTTAACAGAGGGGTGTTTCATCCTCCACACATCCACTAAGTCAGCCTCTCTTATCACCTGTGACAGTAAAAGGGACGACTGAGGATGCGGCTCCCGTCCTATTCTGTCTAAAGTGACATTAGTGCAAACATTCCAGTCCCCCCCCCAGTATAACACACTCCCCCTGTACACTAGTGTCCAGCTTGTCTTTTAATAACTGAAACACAGATACACGTGCAGGGCCCTGATTGGGTGCATACACATTAATAAAAGTGAAAATGAACTCTAACAGTTCCACTTTCACCATCAAGGCTCTACCCGCCACTATCTCTGTGCTGGATAGAATCTTAACATTTAGAGAGGGGGAGAAAAAAACAGCTACTCCAGCACTAAGGTTTGAGCCATGACTGAGTACATACTGACCCCCCCACCACATCCCCCAGTCTGTCTCATTCAGGCTATCACTGTGCGTTTCCTGCAGAAATATCACATCTAATTTTTTCTGATTAAAGACCTCTAACACTAAAGCTCTTTTCTGTGCACTTCTACCCCCGTTCATGTTTAAAGAAGCAACCCTTAAAGCCTGCATTAGAGGAAGGAGACAGAGAGAAAGAACAGACAGGTACACACAGCAGAGAGGAGACACCCAGTGTTGCATGATCATGTTGACATTTTATTTAACCCTTTTCAGTTTCCTCCCTCTTTTGCTTTCTTTCGTACCTTTTTTCATAGCAGTTACATGCTTCCTGAGACGATAGCGTTTCTTTTCATCCAGCAGGTCTAACCCTACAACTTTCTGAAGGGTGCTCACTGTATGAAGAAACTTGTTAGTGTCAGGGAAAAAGTCTCTCACTTCCACTGCCTTGCCAACAGACTCCTCTAAAAGACATTAATCTCTTCCAAAGAATATATCTCTGCGTTCTGAGAGAGACTATCTGCAACTGAAACACAGTCAGAATCCCCCTCACCGTCTGTGTCCATCTCTGTCACCTCATTACTGTCTGCAGCCTGAGCCTGTTGAAGCTCTTTTTGCCGCCCAGAGCCAGACGGCAGCTCCTGCTGTGTGCCAACAGCCTCCACCTGCCCCACAGCCCCGGTCTTCACCTGTCCTGCTACATCATCTCCCACCAGTTTACCTGTTTCCACCTGTTTTCCTCTCACACTCACCACACTCTCTACAGTCCCCATTTCCTCTCTCACGATATTCATCCCTACTTCATGCGCAGCCCCCGGGGCCACGGCGGGCGCAGCAGCAGCCCCCGCGACACCGGGTTCCGCGGCCGCGGACCCAGCTGCCCAGGCTCGGCTGCTCCAGCGACCCGGGCCGGCGGCTAGCGGCGGGCTCGGCGGCCCAGCGGCCCCGGGCTCGGCGGCCCAGCGGCCCCGGGCTCGGCCTCCCCAGCGGCGCCGGGCCCGGCTGCCCCGGCAACCCCGGGCTCGGCGGCCCCATCGGCCCCGGGCTCGGCGGCCCTAGCGGCCCCGGCTGCCCCAGCGACCCCGGGCTCGGCTCCCCAGCGGCCGGCCCGGTGTCCCGGGCCCAGCCGCCCCGGGCTCAGCCGCCCCCGGCGGATCGGCGTGCCGTCTCTGGACATGCAACACGTTTATGACCCGACTCCCCGCACTCAAAACACACGTTACGTTCCCTGAGCTCGCAATAAACCATATAAAAACCCTCTTCATGCCTCACCCGGAAGGACACATCTAGTGTCTGAGTGGGACAATTCAGAAACATGAAAACTTGTCTCCGCAGAGATTGGACATGTTTTAATTTTTCATCCTTACACCCCAGAGCAACACTGCGGAAATTACTGGCAAACTTACCGAAACGCTTCAGCTCCCGTTCCAGCGCCTCATTCGGGATGAACGGAGGAACGCCAGACACAGTGATCCGCGTGGACGGTGTCGCCAGCGGTGAAACGTGAATAAATTCCTCGTTTAACATTAATCCGCTCTCGATAAGTTCCGTCACATATTTCTGGTCTTTCAAAAAGACCACGACCGCTTTGTTCATGCGGGAAGCATAGGAGATGTTTACATGACCCACCTGATCCCCCACAGCCAGCAACACCTGCTCCACTGTGCTTGCGGCCTGAGCCACCAACCGCACTCCGTGTCTCAGAGACACCGGCGGCGCCCCGAAGGACGCCATCCCCGCCTCGAGGCACGGAAAAACACTAACGAAAAAGTATTAACCGTACTCGCAAAGAGTACAAATATCCCAACGAAAGATCATACAGTTAAAGAAAACGATAGAAACAGAAAACAAACGAAACAAAAGTGAAAATCCCTCTTCCCTCTTCAAACACACCTCCACCACAGAAGAAGAAGAAGAAGAAGAAGAAGAAGAAGAAAGAAGAAGAAGAAGAAAGAAGAAAGGAAGAAGAAGAAGAAGAAGACTCCGACTCCGACTCCGACTCCGACTCCGACTCCGACTCCGAGCTGTCCGACTTCAGGCGAGCTCCCCCGGCTGCGATCGGCTATTCTCGTCTACTTTCGAGGCGAGCCGCAGCTCGTCTCAAACAAGCCTATTGTAAATGCATAGTCTCCTCTCTTAACACTGGCCCACATTCACGTCCAATCGTGCCACCTGTCTGCCAACAACTGCGTCATTGTGCTTTCGGTATTTGACGTATAAACAGTATTTAGCCTCTTTTTGTTTTGAATTATAACTGTCTTTCTGTTCAGATGACAAATGTGTGCGTCAGGTGACTTAAATCATGATATGATGTTTGGTTCTTATTAAATAGTAATAGAGCAGTCCTCCCACATGTGATGATATGCCACTAGAATGTTTGTTACACACATGTTTTTGCACAAGAATCAGCCACTAGGCTTCCTTTTATGATAGTTTCTTAACAACCTTTTTTCCCTTTTACAGCGCGAGTGCCTCTCAATCCACGTTGGTCAGGCTGGTGTGCAGATTGGCAATGCCTGCTGGGAGCTTTACTGCCTGGAACATGGGATCCAGCCGGACGGCAGGAAGCCTGGTGACCAGAACATCTCAGGAGGAGTGGACGATTCCTACAACACCTTCTTCAGTGAGACTGGAGCTGGAAAGCACGTCCCCAGAGCAGTGTTTGTTGACCTGGAGCCCACTGTCATCGGTACATTCTCATTAATTATAAATGATAAAAGTATCATAAACCTTTTCCCCCATCTGTCCCCCCCCCCCCCCTCCCCCTAGGTTGGGAACCACTGCTCTAAAACATCATTCCATTCTTAAGTATTTGAGTAAAACAGGATTGATTGGAAGAATTTAAAACAACGTAAATACAGTGGTATAATTCCACAAATGGTGACAGGATGATATGGTGATACACACTCTTGTACAGTAGGTGGCGGTATGCACCTTAAAGTTGTTTGCAATCCGCCAAAAACCGAGAGAAGAAGAAGAAGAAGAAGAAGAACCTGGATCCATGTGGCGTCTCGTCGCTACGGTTCTCTCTCTCTGTGTTCCTGAGAAAGTGTGTGTGAGCTCCAGCACTACTGATCCATCATCTGTGTGTCTGGATAAACCTCCGAATGGACTCTGTGCTCTTTTTTCTGGAGCGTTTACCTCGGACTATCGGAGCTAGCTTAGCATGCTAGCTGGAAACACGTTAGCAACACTAGTCAGATTGAGAGTTTGATGGAGAGAGAAACGGTGTGTTTAACGGAGTCTGCAGGAAAAGGTGATCTAGGAAACATGAGTAAAGTCCAAATGCTGCTGTCGTTGAAGAAGCAGCGATTCACTACTGAAGAGATATTTGCTCTGTTTGAACAAACAATAGCAGAGCTCGAGGAGGAGCTGTCTCTTTCCAAAGAGGAGAACAAGAGACTCCAGAAACTACTGGACGCTGTTTTACAGCCTCAGCTTCGGATACACAGAGCAGGTCTGTTCCCTTTACTCTTCATTAACACTTTAAACTCTTCAGTAGCACTTTATTATCACATTAATAACACTTTAGACCAGGGGTCGGCAACCTTTTTGATATGAAGTGCCATTCTAAAAAAAAAAATGTATCAGCGTGCCGACGATCGTGAATTATCAACGGGGGGGGGGGGGGAGAGGGTGTTGAAGAGCTCGACGAAAACACTCGTGAAAAGTGATGTTTAAAACTCAGTTAATGGGGCTCATTCACTGGCGCTTCCACAAACAACAACCAACATAATTGTTACATTCAAATGAAGTAGCCTACATTATTCAAGTTTACATTAACTTTGGATAATAACACGGGGGAAATGAGCGGAAGCGCTCTCTTTTCCTCTCTCCCCCTCTCTCTCTCTCCTGACAGCCTGTCAGTATCTCATGCAGCTCACTGATCCAGTAATGAGTGACAGTGAAGAATAAATATATTTATAACTAGTTCCAAAGGTAGATCAAATAGCTAAGTGTGTTAGGTCTAACTCTTGTGTGTTCTGCTCCGCTCACCGGTCCGTCACAGCGGGTGGAGCTGCAGGATTTCTGCTTCACACACGTTGCATACCGCTATTTTATTGTCTTTTTCGGACACCTCAAAATACTGCCAGACTGGTGAAGCGATTTTGGCGAGCTTGTTTTGCCGCACACAGAGAAAAGTGTCATGTATGTTACGTCTCGCGATCGGCCTTTTTGAGTGGGGCTGCGTTGCGCTGCGTTGCGCTGCGTTGCGCTGCGTTGCGCTCTGGCGGCGGTCTCGTTCAGGATCCGAAAATAAAATAAATATTTTGTACACTTATTCCACTTATTCCTAGTGTGCCACTGGTTACGGTGCCGCGTGCCATTGGTGGCACGCGTGCCAGGGGTTGCCGACCCCTGCTTTAGACCCTTTATCAGCACGTGCTGCAGGTAGTACATCCTGAAGTAAAAGTACAAACACCACACTGTGAAAATACTCCATTATTATAATTATTACGGAAGAGCAAACCTACCAAAATAAATATATTTATAAAAATAAATACATTGAATAATATGCTATTTAATTTACTGATTTAAATATTACCCATGCATGTAGGCACTAGTTGATTAAATGTGACATACATTGATACTTTAGTTTTAATGTGCTTCTTTATTCACCTTTTCTTTTTAAATGTGTAAAAGCAAATAAAAACAAATACTTTGGATTAATTCAAATTGCGCGAGAATAATTCATAAAGAAATCAATGAATAAATATGTTCAATAATAAATTAAACGCATCTAAAATGTTACTTGATAAAGAATAGGGGAACTCGTACAAATGTCATAAAGTCATTCAAACGTTAATATAAATTAATATAAAATCTCAATCAATCAATTATTGCCAACATGTATTTATAATATATTCTGTATATATATATATATATATATATATATATATATGAGGGCTGTCAGTCGATTAAAATATTTAATAGTGATTAATCGCAAATTAATCGCACATTTTTTATCTGTTCTAAATGTACCTTAGAGGGATATTGTTCAAGTTTGTAATACTCTTATCAACATATGAGTGGACAAATATGCTTTATATGTTTGTTTATTATCATTTGAACAATGACAAATATTCTCATGTATATTAAACAAAAAAACCTGGAAACTATCTCATAAGTGTGTGTGTGTGTGTGTGTGTGTGTGTGTGTGTGTGTGTGTGTGTGTGTGTGTGTGTGTGTTGTGTGTGTGTGTGTGTGTGTGTGTGTGTGTGTGTGTGTGTGTGTGTGGTGTGTGTGTGTGTGTGTGTGTGTGTGTGTGTGTGTGTGTGTGTGTGTGTGTGTGTGTGTGTGTGTGTGTGTGTGTGGTGTGTGTGTGTGTGTGTGTGTGTGTGTGTGTGTGTGTGTGGTGTGTGTGTGTGTGTGTGTGTGTGTGTGTGTGTGTGTGTGTTGTGTGTGTGTGTGTGTGTGTGTGTGTGTGGACACTGTGATGGATCGTTGGAGCTATGTGCAGCTCAAGGCATATATGCTCGAATGGGAGCTGCCTGGAAGCTGCAATCATGTTGCGCGTACTATCCGTGCTGAGTGTGCTGACTTTTCGTACAATGTCCCACTGGCTGGCTACCTGCATAAAGTCAAGTGCTCGGCGCAGTTGTCGGCGAAATGTCATTGAAACAGCTCCTTATATCCGTTAGCGCAGCTAGCTAGCCCCAGATGCTAACAACAACAACACGTAAGGTGTGCCTCGCTCGCACGAGTCGCGCCACACATACACACACCCTCCCGGTCCTCCCGATGGCCAGTCCGGGCCTGCCAGTGAGCGTGGAAGTGTGGTCTGCCACAAGCGGGCGGTAGGAGCGGGGCTGTCAGCATCAGCGTTATTAACGCGTTAACTTGACAGCCCTAATATATATATATATATACAGAATATATATTTTGAGAGAGATATACACTAGTATTAGACGCAGTCAAAAGTTTGGACACATCTTGTCATTCGAAGATTTTTATTTATTTAAATTGGTTCTACTTTGTAGATTTATACTGAAGACGTCAAAACTATAAAAGAACACATGGAATTATCTAGTAAACAAAAAAGTGTTAAAAAATCCAGAATATGATTTATATTTTGCTGGCTACTGCAGAATGCTGTGGTAGCCATGCTGGTTAAGGGAACCTTGAATTCTGAATAAATCACCAACAGTGACACCAGCAAAGCCCCCCACCACCATCTCACCTCCTCCTCCATGCTTCACAGTGGGAACCACTCATGCAGAAACCATCCGCTCACCTTCTCTTTTAATGACTGATTTTAAATGCCATTTTTAAAATGTCTTCCATTTTTGTAAAGCACTTTGAATTACCTTGTGTTGAAAGGTGCTATATAAATAAACTTGCCTTGCCTTGCCTTGCCTTCTCTGCGTCTCACAAAGACACGGAGGTTGGAACCAAAAATCTCTAATTTGGACTCATCAGACCAAAGTAATAATACATTAATAATACATTTAATTTATATAGCGCTTCTCATGTGCCAAGACAAATCTCTGAGCAAATTCGAAGTACAGATTTCCACTGGTCTAATGTCCAGTACTTGTGTTTCTTGGCCCACACCATTCTCTTCTTCTTGTTGTTCGTCCTCAGTAGTGGATCTTTGCAGCAATTGGACCATGAAGGCCTGATTCACGCAGTCTCCTCTGAACAGTGGATGTTAAGATTGTCTGCTCCTTGAGCTCTGTGATCATCTATGTGAGCTCTAATCTGAGGTGCTTTAATTTGCTGTTTCTGAGGCTGGTAACTCTGATGTATTTATCCTCTGAGCAGAGGTAACTCTTGCTCTTCCTTTCCCGGGGGGGGTCCTCATGAGAGCCAGTCTCATCATAGCATTTGATGTTTTTGCGACTGCATTTGAGGATACATTCAAAGTTCTTGAAATGTTCTGGATCGACTGGCCTTCATTTCTTAAAGTGATGATGGACGGTCGCTTCTCTTTACTGGGTTGAGTGGTTCTTGCTATAATATGGATTACAACAGCAGTCAAATAGGCTTTCCACTGTGCACTAACTCTACCTCTGCTCAACACAACTGATGGTCTCAAACACATTAACCTGTTAAGCACCAAGCCTGTTTTTCATGTTTCAGCCTCGAAAATGACATGCCCAAAACAAATGACTACAACTTAACTTCTAAAAGGGTTATATGAATAATTTCTTTGATCAAAGCAAGGTTACATCTGTGAGTTGGATGTAGAAGTGTCAGAATCAATATAGATGTTTATTATTTTAAAGAAAATTCAGATTTTACATAGTAAAAAACTGTAAATTATAGTGTCCGTCCAAAAATGATTTTTTTACAGATAGTGAAAACTACCCTTGGATGATGGGTTAGTAGACTAAAAGCTTTAGGAATCCAAAGTACAACATATAATAAGTACCCTGTATCAAGATTGATGCAAAACAAGTGACATGTGACCTTTTTAGAGAGGTTTAGCCAAAACCACCCCACCTCTGAGGTGATTTGGGTGAAAATGTTTTTTTTTTTCCATATCTCTGGCCCCCCTTGGTCGATGTTGATGGTTGACACCTCTTTCTGACCGTTAGAGCCAATAGAATCGAAGGGGGAGGCCCC